GAGCTTTCTCAAAGCAATACATTGCAGCCAAAGGGAGATTAAGGGGGGAAAGTACAATTTTAGTTTGGGGCTAAACAGGAATAGAGTAGAGAAGACACAGTTTGTGTGCAAAATATCCGAAGAAAGCAGGATTTGCTCTGGAAGAAAGATGATTTCAATGTGATGTCTGTTGTAAAAGGAAAACTACACAGTCCACTCAAAGTAAGAAGCACTAATAGCTTTCAGCACTTTAGCCTTTGAAGGTTTTCCCATTTATGACATGAGGACACCTAGAGGTGAAAAGTTATAATTATTAAACAATAACTGGATTCTAGGAGAAAAATTTTTCTCATAAAAGGAGGAAGCAAACCTCTTCCTCTTAAATTTTTTTTTTTTTCCAAGAAGTGCCATGGGTTTCCTTGTTGGTCCAGTGGTTGCAGGGGACACCAGTTCGATCCCTGGCCAGGGAAGATCCCACATGCTAAGGGGGAAGTAAGCCTGTGAGCCACAACTGCTGAACCCTCGGCCCCTAGAGTCCGTGATCCACAACAAGAGAAGTCACAGCGATGGGAAGCCCATGCACCACAACTACAGACTAGGCCCTGCTCACCACAGTAAAGTCCACATGAAGCAACAAGGACTCAGCACGGCCAAAAATTAAAAAAAAAAAAAAAAAATTAAAAAAAAAAACCGCCTGGTAAAAGGAAAAAAAAAAAATTCCCAATTTGGGGTAAAAAAAAAAACAACTCATAATGATGGCAGCATATAAAAGGGGCACAAGAACCAACTGAAATTGCTACCAAGGGCTAAAACTGGAAAAAGTTAAACAAGAAAATAAAATAATATTGGATTATAACCCCCAAATAAAATAAATATTCATGAATGAATATAAACAAATGACTGTGTAAATTAATAAACGAGGGGAAAGGGACAAACTTCCATGCAGTAGAATTCCAAATAATTGCTGTAGTTACTCTGCCCTCAAGGATGTGGAGTGTAACTCCCCATTCCTTAAAAAGTGTAGGCTGAGTGTAGGGACTTTCTTCAACAGTATGGGGGAAGGGTGCAGCAGTGATGGGATACTCATGGGAAATGGAGATAACACTATCTCAGCCAGGTGATCAAAGTCAACATCACCACCCAAAAATCATCTGCAAGTATGTGCCCTTGATACAGTAAGATGAAAATGACACTTTATCTCTGTGATCTTCCTTCACCAAACCCATATATAACCCCAGTCTCATCAAGAGGAAAAACATCAAATTCCAATAGAAGGTCTAGAATACACCTGACCTATAATCTCTGAAACTATCAGAATCATCAAAAACAAAGGAAGTCTGAGGAACTGTCACAGCCAAGAGGAGCCTAAGGAGACACAATAGCCACATCTAATGTACTAATAGTACCCCAGACTGGTTCTATTGATCAACCTAGATAGCATATTAAAAAGCAGAGACAAAAAAAAAAAAAAGCAGAGACGTCACTTTGCCAACAAAGGTCCATCTAGTCAAAGCTATGGTTTTTCCAGATGTGAGAGTTGGACTATAAAGAAAGCTGAGCACCAAAGAATTGATGGTTTTGAACTGTGGTGTTGGAGAAGACTCTTGAGAGTCCCTGGGACTCTAAGGAGATCCTACCAGTCCATCCTCCATGAAATCAGTCTTGAATATTCATTGGAAGGACTGATGCTGAAGCTGAAACTCCAAAACTTTAGCCACCTGATGTGGAGAACTGACTTATCGGAAAGACCCTGATGCTTGGAAAGATTGAAGGTGGGAGGAGAAGGGGACGACAGAGGATGAGATGGTTGGATGGCATCACTGACTCAGTGGACATGAGTTTGAGTAAGCTCCAGGAGTTGGTGATGGACAGGGAGGCCTGGCGTGCTGCAGTCCATGGGGTCGCAAAGAGTGGGACATGACTGAGTGACTGAACTGAACTGAACTGAAGACCGGTTCTGGATATTCCCTGGCTGAAACGGTAAAGCATCTGCCTGTAATACAGGAGACCAGGGTTCGATCCCTGGGTTGGGAAGATCCCCTGAAGAAAGAAATGACTCCCCACTCCAGAATTTTTGCCTGAAGAATCCCATGGATGGAGGAACCTTGCAGGCTACGGTCCAGGGGGTTGCAAAGACTCAGACATGACTGAGTGACCACTTTCAGATGGGTTCTGGAATAGAAAGAGGACATCAGGTAGAAACTAAAGAACCCAAATAAACTATGGACTTTAGTCAGCACTAAAATTACTAATAATGTAGCATGTTCACAATAGAGCAAACTGTGGGGATATACAGAAATTCTGTACTGTTTTCTCAATTTTTCTGTAAATCTAAAACTGTCCTTAAAAAAAAAAATAAAGTCTAATAAGGAACAGATCTGTGGTTGCCTAGGAGCGGAGGAGTAACATTGGGAGTTGGGGTTAGCAGGTGCAAACTGGCATGGAGAGAATGGATAAACAATAACCTACTGTAAAGCACAGGGAACTATATTCAATATCCTGTGATACATCATAATGGGAAAGAATACAAAAAAGAATGTGTATATATGTATAACTGGATCACTTTGCTCTACAGCAGAAAGTAATAATATTGTAAATGAACTATACTTAAATTCTTTTTAAGTTCACTTTTTAAATGTCCTATTTTGTCTTTTTGCCTTTCAGTTAATCACCAACATAAGACTATAGATAATTTAATTAAGAGGAAATAGGTGAGGAAAAGAAGGCAAGGGTGAGTCCAGGGAAAAAGTCAGGAAGAAACAAATCAATCCAAAGCCAGAAAAGGTTGCAAAATCAAAGAAAAGTTCCTGAGTTTACTTCATAGTTATTTTGAGAAGACACTCACAAGAGTCTGGACTGTTTCCTACAAATCTTCACTCTTGGGATTCGGATCAGCTAATTATATACAAAATATATCATCAGGGACCCCAATTAAGAAAAATATATATTATGCAAAGAGCAATATTTAATTTAGCTTTTTTAAAAAAAGATTGAAAATAAGCTCTGTGCATCTGTAAAGAAGTAGCTAAAGAATCTACGAAATGTGATTCTATTTCAAGACTTATAGGATCCAAATATCTGGTGTAGCAGATAGCTCTATTCCTTCACTGTCTGAAATATGTCAGAATGCTAATATAATAAAATATTGTTGTTTTGTTCAACTCTTTGTGACCCCATGAACTGCAGCACACCAGGCTTCCCTGTCCTTTGACATCTCCTGGAATTTGCTCAAATTCATGTCCATTGAGTCAGTGATGCCATCCAACCACCTCATCCTCAATAAATCTCAATTAAAACGTCAAATAAAATGGAGAAACCTTAATATGCACCTCTAGGGTAATTTTAAATTTCATCTGGACTAATCCTGAAAAAAAGATATGATTTTTCTTTTAGAAGCCACTAGATGATCTGGGGGATAGTACCCTAAGCCTGATTACTGTACACAAGGAAAGATACGGAATGGGGCACAAATACAACAATTTCTTGGACACACTTGCCCCTAAATAGTTTCATTTTCTGAAAGTAATACTGACATGCTGTCTTAAAACCAAGACTCTTGTAGCAAATGATTTTAATTTTAAAGGAGTCCCAGTACAGAGCACTTCTTTGTAAACCTCATCAGCATTTTCCTTAAGAAAACAGCCAAGGTTTTCACTTCACAGAACCAGGATTTGCATTCTCCAATTATCTCCAACTTGAAGGTTACAGAGTAATCTAAGTGGGGGAGGGGAAAGTTTACTGAAACAGCTGTAAACACAAACTCAAGTAATCAAAGCTGTATTTGGAGGCTTAAAATTTGGTGGCCCTTTACCCCTTTAGACAATCAACTGCTTCCCAGTGGGATAGAAACCTACCAATAATTTACATAAGAAATTAGCAACCAAAATTTACATCTGAATGGCAAACCCCAGAAGCCCATCAGGTGTTAAGTATCTGCTTATCTAAATTGCCTCTAAAAATAGCTTTACCTTCCTGTGAGTCTTAGGTAAATAGAAGATTTCCCAAGAAGGGAAGCTGACACAAGCCCAGATACTATATTGCCCTATTCCACTGTCAATTTCATTAGGAAAATGTCAGGGCTGTTCTGCCTTTGAGTGAGAGGACTCTTAGAACTGCTTTAGAATGAACCACGCTGAAAGAGCTGTGGACAAACTATAAACTATCAAGAGCTTGTGCTCAGCCATGTCCGAACTCTACAGCTCCATGGACTGTAGCCCACCAGGTCCTCTGTCCAGGGAACTTTCCAGGCAAGAATACTGGAGTCAGTTACCATTTCCTTCTCCAGGGGATCTTCCCCACCCAGGGGTCAAAACCACGTCTCTTGCGTCTCCTGCATTGGCAGGTGGATTCTTTACCACAATCAGATTATGAACTAATTAGAATGGGATAGCCAGGAAGCAGGACCATATACCATTAAGGGAGGGAAGAGAGTATAATTTGTTATGTGACCAAAAACATGAAATACTGAAAATGTTTAAGTAGGATTTACTTTTTTAAAAGTGTGGTTAAAAGCCTTTGTAGAAGAGGAGGCTGACAAGAGAAATAAAATGGGATGATAAAAACATGTTCATTTTCATCTTCTATTGATAACAAAATACTGGATGAATGTTCAAAATACATGAAAAAGGTAAATATTAAAACACATGATATCTCTGTTGTTGTTTTGAGAGTGGAACAAAAAGAAGTAGAAAGAGATCACTTTGGAGCAGCATTCTTTCAGAAGTTCGTGAGGCACTGAAAAAGTCCTGAGCTAGGCCTAGGCTTGTCTTTGCCACATACCATCTCAGAGAAGTCATTCAAAGGCTGTGTCTCTCAGTCTCTTGATCTATAAGATGGGGTGATAATGCTTGTCTTTCTTAATAGACACCTGCTATGAAGTCACAGGCAATAATGAGAGTGAAAGCATGATTACTCCTCATTCCTTTCTATGATTACTGGTTTCCAGACTTAAGCACCCAATCAATGATTAGAAACTAGCCAGACAATATTAAAGGAGCTGAAAAATAAAAAAGGAAACCCACCGTCTGTAGTGCAAGACCCTTCAGGAGCAGGTTTCTGTGAATAGGGAATTGGTGGGCTATTTGAATCTGACATGTCTTCATCATCTTCATCATCTTCCATTTCATTTACTGTGAGGTTGTTAGAAAAATCCAGGCTTCCATTTTGGGTGTATCGGTGTACCAAGTCTTTATCCAGATCCTCCACCTTGGGTTTTACATCTGGGAAAGCAAATAAATCATAGCTAATTTAATAAAAAGATGCACATGGGGGAGATAACCAAAAGAAAAATTCATAGTTCTGAAAAAATATCTGAGGGTGGGGAGACAGGCATTGGCTAACATTTAACCCACATATTTCAGAGATCCCCAGATCTAGAATTCCCACTTCTTTTAAAATTCCCATGCAGAAATGTGTGGGATTGAGAAACTTACCTGCAGAGGAGAAAGGATGCTGGTCAGGATCCAGGTACAGCTGGGAAAAAATTGGTCGTGGTACCACACTACTACATCTCAGAGAGGCTTCAATGGAGTTGTGGAGAGCTTCTTCAAATCGAGCAGATTTTAGCTGCCCAGCATATGAATTCCCCATGGTCTATACCACCCCCGCAAAGAAAAAGAAAAAGGAGAAAGTTGACATTAGTAGAGGGTTATATGTCTGCAACTACACATAGAGCTGATATAAACTATACCCACATATCCTGTTACAATAGAAACTATATGAACTATACATTTCTTGAGATAATTTATCAATTTATGTATTCTATCACTTTTGCTTCTTGTCTTCAGAGTCCCAAGGGGCTTTCAAAACGTCCCTTTAAGGGATCTTGTATCTAAGGATCAAACCATAATAAGTGCTTTAAGCAAAGTTTCTCCAACTAGTAAATCAAGATTAACCTGCCAATCATGAAGCCCAGCACAGTGACACGGGCTTCTCCCTTAAACTGGTGAGTGGTGGGCTGCCACAACCCAAAGGAACGCTATCGGTGGTTTCAGAGGAAATATCAAACTACTTCTCTCTCTACTAAGATTTTATTACCCTAGGAGGATTCTTCTCTGGAAAAGGAAAAAAAAAAAAAAGAAAGCTTTGTGATAATATATTTAATTGGTGAATTCCTAAAAGCAAGATTTGAGCCTTTTAAAATTCAAAGAACTCATTCATGTATTATTAGTATTTATTTGAAAAACAATGCTGTTTCTTTTGCTTAGTTTGAATCACAGTCTTATTTGGGACCTCAGGAAAACATAGAGTAAGAAGTTTTGATGCAATTGCCTTTACTTCTCATCGATAGCTACAAAAATTTCCATATATTGTAATAATAACTCAATTTATTGGGTGCTAATTATTAGCTATGCTAATGATTGGTCAAGGTCCCCAAGACCCTTTCTGGGTTCCATGAGGTCAAAAGTCTTTTCAAACTATTATTAGGATATTATTTGCCCTTTTCATTTATTTTCCATGTATAATGGGTTTATTGTTAATTTTTAAAATTAATAAGTATTTTGAAATTTTCTTAGTTTTAATTTCTAATAAGTATAACATATGTAAAAAAATTGTTTTTAAGAGTATAAAGAGGTAATGAGATGAAAAGTCTGAGAATTGTTGGGCTAGAGAGTATACCAGGCACTTCCTAAAAATTATTTTATTTAATCCTCAGTATTCTGAAGGAAATGGCAACCCATTCCAGTACTCTTGCCTGGAAAATTCCATGGATGGAGGAGCCTGGTAGGCTACAGTCCATGGGGTCGCAAAGAGTCAGACAACAACTGAGCGACTTCACTTTCTTTCTTTCTATTGTTCCTTTTGGAGAAGGAAATGACAACCCACTCCAGTGTTCTTGGCTGGAGAATCCCATGGATGGAGGGGCCTGGTGGGCTACAGTCTATGGGGTTGCCAAGAGTTGGACATGACTAAGCAACTAACACACACACACATTTTGAAGTAGGGCTTCCCAGGTGATACTTGTAAAGAATCCATCTGCCAATGTAGGAGATGCAAGATATGTGGGTTTGATCCCTGGGTTGGGAAGCTTCACTAGAGGAGGAAATGGAAATGCACTCCAGTATTCTTGTCTGGGAAATCCCATGGACAGAGGAGCCTGGTTAGAGCTACAGTCCATGGGGTCGCAAAGAGCTGGACATGACTGAGTGACTAAGCACACACATATATATCAAAAAATTATATTGTATACCTAAAACTAATGCAATGTTATATATCAACTATATCTCAATAAAACTGGAAAAAATAAATTACTAGGTTTTTCTTATAAGTACATGTGCCAAAGTATACATATAATACTCAATTACAAGTTGTAAGTTGGAGAAAATCAACAAAACCTCTCTTCTCAAGTGAAATTTTCCTAAAATACCAAGGTTTCTTTTTTTAAGGCTTTAGGAGTAGTATTATGATATTCTTAAAGAATTTAGTTTACAAATTTTACAATTAAAACATGAAATTTTAATTTTATGTTTTCTATCTTCTGAAACAATTTGAAGATAGGATTCAAACAGGAAGTACTAAATATATGAAACAGGTAGGTAATGAAAACCCAAGGTTTTGTTCAAACTTGTAAAACCCTACCAGAACAAGTATAAACACTCAATTTTTCTACAGCAATCTATTTTTCAACAGAACCACACACAGTCAAAACAGAGTGGAGGTTGAAAGAGAAACACACCATGTCACTAGTCCACACGTCTAAAGAGAAACACACCATGTCACTAGTCCACACGTCTACAGAGAAACACACCATGTCACTAGTACATGCGTCTGAGTCAAAATCCAATGGCCATTTGACCTTTTGTCCTCACTGAAGGGAGAAAAATATGAGGAACTAGCATGGTTACTCAAGGGATTTCTTACTGCGGAAAACAATAGAATAACTTCAAACGTGGACCTTTAGCCTTTCTCAAGAGCACCAAATGCCTGAAAATCTTGCCTCTTCTTAATCTATTACCTGCTCAACAAGTTATCTTCCTTTCATCATTGAAAACCTACATTCTCCAAGGGACCTTTTTAGTTGAATAAAGAAGTACTCAAATATACATGGAAGATTACATAATCTTAATCCCTTCAATTTATACATAGTTTAAGGAGTAATATGATAGATATAGCAAATAAATATTGTGCTGGTTAAACTATTAAATCAATATAAATAGGGGTGATCCAGTTTCACCATCATAGAAGATACACAGAATATAAGAGCATAACCCTGGGGAATGCTCAGATGAAGACAACAGTAAATTCCCATGAACAGCCTTGGGAGAGCAAAAAGAAGGGGCTGACTATTTCAGATGAAAACATAACCAGGCAGTTTTAAAAATGATAATGATAAGGTGAAGAATGACAAAACTGACCCCAAACTTCGGTGCTGACTGTCAAGTTCTTCATTGACAGTTCAGTGCTACCCAAAGAAGGGCAGAGGTCAAAACAAGAAGAATTTTTGAGCAATGTAGTCTTAATATCTTGGAGAAGAAAATGGCAACCCACTCCAGTATTCTTGTCTGGAAAATTCCGTGGAGAGAGAAGCCTGATGGGCTAGAGTTCACGGGGTTGTAAAGACTCAGACACGACTGAGCAAATGAGTATTCTTAATATCATATGCTGTACATAATATTTAGGATCACTGATATCATTGGCCTTATCCACCTAGACTACTGAGTCTCTTCCTCCGAATCTCAAAGAGCCCCCAGGCATAACATCCCACTGAAAGTGAAGAAGTTGTAATCACTTCAGTCATGTCCGACTCTTTGCAACCCCATGGACTGTAGCCCACCAGACTCCTCTGTCCATGGAATTCTCCAGGCAAGAATACTGGAGTGGGTAGCCATTCCCTTCTTCAGGGGATCTTTCCAACCCAGGAATCGAACCTGGGTCTCCCACACTGCAGGAAGATTCTTTACTGTCTGAGGCATCAGGGAAGCCCGACATCCCATTGAAAGTCAGTGTAAAGAAATCTAACTTCAGGTCAGAAAATGGAGAAACACTTTTTCCAACCAGTTGTTAAATGAAATACAACAAGAACAGACTGTGACTTCCATACAAAGGCACATATTTAATGTCTCTGACTGTCACTGTCTGGGAGACTGCGCTATATTGCTTTCCCGTGTTTCCTTTTATTGTTGTGAAATTACTCGGGGAAAACTATGGTAACTGTCTTGGCATAGCACCACAGACCTTTGAGATGCAAATAGGCATTCTTTGGGTAATCTCTAAAAAAGGTATGGTACCCTATAAAGCTCTTTCAGCACCATAATTAATTGCTGCAAATGCAAGTGGGATCAAGTGCAAACCACCAGGACAGTGTGGTTTGGTGTCTTTCTACTCCTCCTTTACCCCTTCTCTACAGAAGGACAGAGGCTTCCCAGGTCCGAAAGTAGTAAAGAATCTCCCTGTCGAGCAGGAGACACAGGTTCAATCCCTGGGTTGGGAAGATCCCCTGGAGAAGGAAATGGCAACCCACGCCAGTGTTCTTGCCTGGGAAATCCCATGGACAGAGGAGCCTGGTGGGCTACAGTCCATGGGGTCGCAGAGCTGGACATGACTGAAGTAGCTAGCATGCCTGCACATCATTATTGTATCACAGGGAATGGTCACAGTGGTGGTCATGGTGGTGATGGTAGTAGCAGTAATTGTCATCACTCTCATTGTCAAGAAATCCGAAAGGAAACATTCTTTGTCAAACCACGATAATAATAGTAAAAGGGGAACTTAGTAACCACCAGGAAAATACAATTACTGCCTCCATTTTTAGGAGAACCAAGGTCTAGAGAAGTTCGGGAACTTGCCCAAGGTCATACTATGAGGAAATGGCCAAGACAAGAGTGGAATCTAATCAGTTCGTCTACAGCAGCAGATGTCTTAGGCTACCTAATCACGTATGCCATTCTGTAGTTAAAACACCTACAATAATAACCCAATTGGGAAAAATTCATATTATGTAAACATCTACTAAATTGTGAAGCCAAGCCAAAATAAATAAATAAAAATCAAGGAAAAAGAGCTTTGTTTGCTGATTTTTCCTTGTCTACCCATGTGCTCAGATGCTCATTCATGTCAGACTCTTTGAAACCTTGTAGACCACAGTCCACCAGGCTCCTCTGCCCAAGAAATCCTTCCGGCAACAATACTGGAATTGTGTGCGATTTCCTCCTCCAGAGAATCTTCCGAACCCAAGGATCTAACCCGAGTCTCTTACAGCTTCTGCATTGGCGGGTGGATTTTTTAAAAAATAGTGCATCTATGTATTCCGGGGCTGCAAAACAAGGCTGAAATGCGAGTTTTAACGTTGGATACCAGACAAACAGCCACAAAGACAAGCAATGATTTAAAAAATTGAAATAAAATAAAAACACCACCTCTCCTCTCAATGAAAAAACCCAGACCTCACTGTAATGTTTGATGAAAGATAGATATGAACAGAGAGTCAAGTACTTCACAAAGAATAACAGAATTGTCCTTGGTGTCTTTAGGAGTTTGGTTCTAGGACTCTGGTGGAGACTAGTATCCACGGATGCCAGAGTCCCTTACATAAAAAGACTAGTACAGCCTTCTGAACCAATGATCAAGTTTAGCATCACTTTTTTTAGTATCAAAAGTGAGGCAGTGAGACACTGTGGGCCTCCCCATGGGAAACAGCATGAAGCATACACAAACCACCTAGGACTTATTCCTGCCAAAGGGGGTAAGGAATGTAGGCAAACTCTAGAGCTAACTTCCATTTATGGGATGAAGAACTAAGTTAAATGAAACCACATGGAAACAAGCAGATTCAGAAAGAGGGACAAGGAGACAGAGCAGTGGCCGGGTTTCTGAAAGGAGCCAAGGTTATCTAGCTTGTAAGTGATGGAACCAGAATTCAAATTTAGGCTCAAAAGCCTGTTTTTTGCCCCTGCTAAACCAAAATATTTGAAGTAGAAAAAAATGTGAGTGAAAATGATACATTCTGTTTGTGTGTGTACTTGTTTTTGATTCAAATTCTTTTTAGGCACAATTCATTGACTGTGTGCCAGGCATAGTACTAAACAGACAGCTTCGAATAACTTATGAGATGTTACTTATCTTTTTCTCTAGAGATGTTGTCACCTACTTTCCAAAGTTTAACAATCATCCACCTAGCCAGACGGCATTTATAAAAGTCCTACTATTGAAGTAGTTAAGCACACAGTGTCTGGAGTCACATGGCCTTCATTCAAATCCTGTACCCATGACCCTGTATGATACTGGGCAAGTTACTTAATCTCTCATCTGTAAAATGGGGCAACACAATCACTATCACAGACTTCTGTGAGAATACATAAGATTTTATGTTTTAATAGTGCCTGGCACAAAATAAATGTGCAGAAAATTTTAGAAGTGCTATGTAGTGTTTTCTTTTTTTTTTTTTTGTAAGCTTGGTGCTACATTGAGGATACTAGGAAAAGTTGAGCTGTATCTCCTTGTATATTTTGGAGGCAGCGTTCTAGCAACAAATGACCAGCAATGTAAAAGTTCCAAAAACCGGTATTTGGTGATATATACAATTCACTTATTAAACTTGACAATCATATATACACATCATTACTGCCTCTTACAGCTATCAGATTCTTTGGCTTCGTATAAAAAATTCTTATTTAAGACATTCCTGTTTAATGCCTTGTTTACTGCCTCTTGTTTAAGGCATTACTGTTTTATGCCTGTTAACACACCCTTGCTCTGTTAAATATATTCGCTGATGAGAGAGATACTATGTGATTATTGGACCAAGAAATCAAACATGGTTCTTGCAAGTTCTCAAAGAGTCTATAACTCAAAACTAAAAACAAGCATATAGTTACAGTTTTCTTATGCTCTTTTCTCATTTTATGTATTCTTTTAAATTGATATTTGTTGCTCTAGTATCTGTTTTTCCCATTAAACTGCAACCACTTGGGGCAAAACATTGTGTTTACAACTGGAGTTGAATTTAAACAAAAAAAGAATACATTGAGCTTTTTTGTGTCTTACTCAATTATACAGTAAACAGGTTTGAAGAGATATTATGTCTTGTCAAGCACATTCCAAAAAAGGCACAAAATTTATGATGCATTCAAAACAAAAGTGTTCTATTTCATTTTTAGTCATTCTCCTTGCTGAAAATCTTTAGAAAATGCAAACAAAAGACAAAATTTTGAGCCTCCTTTAATAGTTCTGTACATTTAAACCTGGGTGACTCTCCTTGGATAGTTTCTGAAGCCAAAAGCATTTTAGGTACTGAAATAAAAACCTAGCCCTAGTTACTTTATTTTCTAAGATTAACTGTTTTTAACTAATATACTTAGGGATATGTAATATGTCCTGAATTGCCATAGAAATGCTCATTGTTATATATGAACTAATTTCATAATGATTATATAAAAGCTGTCATAATTAAAAGATAAGGGACAATGCTATCTTTTCCCTTCTGACAGGGAGTTACATGTTACTACTGGAAATTTTTACTTTCTTCCTCGGAATACCAGAAATTCTTCTGTTAAATAAACACATCTCGTCAAGACCCTCTGGAACTAGTATAATTACCAGAGGCAATTGCTGTGTCAGATCAAAGAAACAAAACAATAATAGGCAACGTGTGACCTCTACCGTGTCACCAGAGACCAATTTTTCAACAGGCAGAAGAGTCAATAATCCAGCACAGAAAACATTAAATAACCAGAAATGCTTCCAAAGTGTGGCTTAGCACATCCATCAAGGCTGCCACATTCAGAGGGTTCAGAGTCTCTGTGGTTTCTGAGAACAAACTTCTGGGGATTTATCACAACAGTCATTAAAATCTGCATAAAGCACCAGAGGCAAAAACCAATTTCCCAAATGCAGAATAGAATTTCAAGAGATACTACAATAATTTTCCAAACATCATAGGATGCTTTAACCAGTAGAGTGTGAAGAACACAGATGATTCAATGATTTCCATATAACATTCACCTAATTTTTTTTATTTACTTGTCCCCATTCTGTTTGGAAAGCAGGCAAAGAACATTAACCCAATAAATATAATTAGTAAGAACACATTAAAGACTTCTGCAGGGTTTTTGTTTTGTTTTGGTAATACTGGGTCGCTAAATCCAAAAACAGGGCTTTGGTCTCCTTTGTAATGTATGTAGTTGACTGATAAGAATCATAAGGGTATAAAGAGGGGTAAAGAAATGCCCATTCTTGTAATGACAGAGAGAAATACATTTAAAATGCACTTTTAAAAAGCACCACGAATAAAACCGTGCCTTAGTAAAGCAAAATCTGGTTGATTTTCTTAGCTGTGACTGCAATGTCTTCTTTCAAAATCAGATGTGAATTAGGCACTGAACACACGTATCTGAATTGTTTAACTTGCAAACACTCATTCTGCTGGTGACTTAGAGACTAATAAAAGAAGGGCTTAACATAAAGGAAAAAGCACTGGAAATGCACGTTCAGTTCTTGTATGGATGCGTTAGTCTTGCTATCACCCCCCGCCTTCTCCTTTTCCCTCCAAAGAGAAAATTCTGTATTTCTATTCGCTTTTCTTCTTGACTCTTCCTGACTCTGACATTGGTTTTCTCCTTACTACTACGAAATGTACCAGAAGCAGTCAGGGAGAAACTCCACGCTTAAGGTTATTCATCGGCTGATACCCATTTCTATGAAATAAAACTAAATTAAAAAATTCTGTAATCCAAAAATAAATGATACTTCATGAGCCATTTATTCCTTTTATGCTAAAATAAACTCAAAGAACTTTCCAGAGTTAAGTTTTGGTGTTTTTAAAGGTTTATATTATTCTGCTTTGGGGTCAGTCAAAAGCTTGTTAGAATGATTTTAAAATTAATGTAAACTAGTTGCTTACCCACTTCTCCCCACCCCCAACTCCTGCCACTTTCTGCTCCAAGGAAAGGAAAAGGTGATATTTCAACAGTGTAAAATTCTTCACTGAGAGACAAACATTAAAATGATAAACATTTTGGAAAGCAAAGTACACTTCAAACCCTAACTGTTCTTTCAGACCTATATTGACTCTTATAGTCGTTGCCAACATTTGGTAAGGATTATCCTTCCATTAGGCGAAAGCAAGCATTCCTTAGATAAATCAGGAGTTTTTGCCATGAGACTCATAAAACCTTTTCACAACACAAGATTTTCAAGAGAATCCTTGAAGGTTTTAGGAGGCTGCTCCTTTTACTGAGTAACAAAATACACCCCATGGTGTCTCGCTGACCCCACTCAGCTGTCCTTTGACCTCTTCAATTGTTGAAGCCTAACTCCAGGGCCCACAGAATTTGCCTCCCATATCAAAAAGGCGAATGAGGCTTCCTCCTAGCACCTGGCGTAACAAAACCCAACAGTGTCTCCCTCTCCGTCTCCTGTGCTCCCTCTCGGGCCACTTTCCAGATGTTCCAGGCCCAAATGTTAAGCCAACACTAGGTTTCAGGATCTGCGTGGTCACCACGAAGGAACACAGGAGCCGAGCTGAAGTGGCAATGACCCTCTTGTTCTTTTTGGCCTCAAAAGGATACGACCGGTCATAAAAGAGGAAAAGATCTTTGGCCTCTCTTGGAAATGCCAGGCTATTTAAGCACATTGTAACTTCCAAAAGGAGGGAGCCAGTCTTGGTCACTCCCTGACAGTCAAGAGTTACCTAAGCAGTGTCCCTAAACTCTTAATTCTAAGAGGATTTTTTATTTTCTTTGTCATAGAAGGGGAAAAGGACAGGATCACCTTTCTCCCCCTCCTTGCATTAAAAGGCTTCCAAAATTAGAAACAGTAAACTTTTGTAAAACTTTTAAAACATACATTTCAGGGTATATGAGTAAAAAATGTAAATACATGCAGTCACTAGATACTGTTTGGTCTTCCCTGAGGAGGCCAATAATCTGATGTCTCCCTTGTTAGACAAGTTGAAAGATAAAACCACAATCAACAAAGAACCAAGAGCTGAATTCTTATTGTCTTAATTTAGGTATGCAGGAAATATAACACAGAGGCTGTTGTAAGAAAAAAGAAAAACCTTAAAGCTGAGCAAGTGTTTTGTTTTGTTTTGTTTTGTTTTTGGTGGCGAGGATGGGGGAGGGGAGGGGAAAGCAAAGAGGAGAGAAAACAGGAGAGAAGCTCATAGAAATACCTGCTTCATCAGTTTAAGTACCAAAGACAGGAGCTTTATTTAGATTCTAAAATGTTCCCCCCCAAAATTTGACCATGAAAGATTTGGATGGGGGGCATATTATAATTGTACAATACCTTGGTTTATTTATTAACATTTTTGAACCATGTTCCTGATTTAGTTGGGCTGTCAACACTTCAGGGAGCCTGTTGCCTAGATTTTACTTGATTAAAGCTTTTTTGTACCTGTAAAAACAAAAAATAACATATACATAAAGATATGAACTAATTTCCAAATGCATATATTCCACAATACTTAAATTTTACAATTCTACAAATATTGCAACTAGAAAATTTATCAGTCTTACATAATTCCATATAGATTATAAAGGGCAAATACAATATTCCTCTTTCCCCAAATGATCACTCTTTATATACCTGGAAATAATTTCTTCTTAAGATTTCCCCCTACTAAATGCAATTGGAATAAATCTGTTAAGTCTGCATTTTGGACAGGTGTTACCATAATGCTTAAAGTCCACAGATTATTTTTATTTTTAGGAGAGAAATTGGTGAAAGATAATTTCCTTATTCAAGGGAGTTTGAGTTTTATAATTTCTGGTGCTAGACCAAAATTTATCATCTTAAAGAAGTATCAAAATTAAGACATAACCAATATTGATTAAAATTATTTTTCTATTTGAAATGAACGGTTTAATAATTTCCAACAAAGAAAGCCTGCAAGAATAAAAGCAACTACTGTTTCCTATCCTTTTGATTAGTGTATTCCTAGAAGAAATTAAACTAAATAATTATAATTGCATAAAACTGGTTGAAAATTACAGTGAACACATTCTTCTGCTAAGTAGATTATAGTCAATATACAAGAAAATATAGTCAGAAGTAGAAAATGAAATAAGAACTATTTCTCACTGATTTTTATACATAACTTAGAAGGGTTTCTATTTTGTTATTATGTCTAAAGAGAAAATAAAAGAGGATTTTTTTAAGAATATACTAGTTCCAACGCATATTTATGGCACTAAAATATGTAAAGTAATATCAATGTATATTTTATTTAAAAAAAGCTTTCACTTTATTTTCCTTTTAGGCCAACTTGAAAGAGAGAAAAGAACCGTTTTAGATTTTGAAATAAAAATATCTTACCTCCCTTACAGTCAGAAGAATGTCTTCAGGCAAAAGCACAATTAAAAATGCAAGACCTGGATTCTCAATCTCCTGTATTTCACACACACCCACCCACCCACCCACAAGTAGACATCTTTTTGTGAGTCAAGAGTCTTGCTCCCTCCATCCAAACCTAAGATTACCCCATATGGTCAGCAAGGTCAAACTGCATTACTGCCAATGAAACTATATGACTCCACAAGGACCTTAATGATTTAAAAAAAAAAAAGGTCAGTAATCCAATTCCAGTTGCTTCAGAGTCTAAAATTGCTAATTTTTGGCCACGTGCTGCACACTTCACCTGCTAGTAATGACATTTTTGTATTTTCTTCTAATTACACTCAAAGCTAAGACCTTTGGCCCCAGGCCACAGACCCCTATTCAGGCTGCACACATTCTCTTAAACGACCTGATCCTTTGTTGTCACTCTTACTCTTTCATCTATTATTTACACCCATAGAGAAGGAAGATACTCCACCATTTGTATAGCTTAAAGCTTCTAATCATCTTAATTTCTTTGCCTTTCAACCTATGGTTTTTTTAATAGATGAATGCCAAAAAGTTTGACAAAATCATTTTTTTTAACCACATACTTTTCCCTCCTTCCCTCTTCTTACTCCTTGCCAACCTCTCTCCTCACCCTCCTCCACCACGGAAGGTACTCTTGATCAGCCGGCATTCACAAATTTTGACTTTCACCAACAAAGCGAATTTCTAAATATAATACAAAATCTCCATCTTGTTCTCACAGATTGATAACAATTATATTTTTTCTCCTCAAAGAACTGATTAAAGTGGAAGTTTACTTAAAATAACTTATTGTCTGCCCCAGACTCCCTAAGGCATGAGCATAGGATTTTCAGAATTCCCCTACAAAAATGTCAAAGAAGCTTCATTGAACAGTTAGAATGTTAGTTATGTAGCTGAAAGTTTTCAAACATTTTATTACCTGCAGATGCTCAAATGCTTACAAGAAAGAAAAAAAAAAGAGGAAGGAAAGCATAACAAAAAATACATATAAAGAAAATTTTACCAATGAAAGAATTTGTAAATTATTACCACATCCAAACAGCAAAGTCCTTACATAAAACATTCTATATCATTGTAATTTCCCAACATTTTCCCCACACTTAAAAAAAAAGAATATCCAAACACATTTTGAAAATCCAAGGCACAGAACTGTTTACCATGTCGCAGATGTCCCCTTCAGATCACGGCAGCCACCCCAAGACTCTGATTTCCAAGATGTTTATAAAAGGACACACGATCCATCTTTGCTCTCTCTTCCTCTATTGCTCAGCTTACTCTTGATTTCTAGCTGTATTTCCTTGTTGTCTGTCCTCTCTGCAGACCCTGAAACCCCTTGTCTTTTCTTATTTTCACCATTTGCCTCAACCAGCAGTTCACTGGAGACCCATCCATCTTGTAATGCCTAAAGTGACAGATGCTCCCAGGAATGACCACACTGCTGAGTGAACAAAAGATAACATCACCTCTAGGAACTCGAGAGAAATACAACTGCAACCTTAAGACAGGGTCTGACTTGACAGACACTGGACCATAAACCTCTTCTAAGCGAGAAAGAAAACAATTGCCACACACACAAAAAAATCTGACACAATCAAAGGCAGAAAAGAGTGATTATTTGTGGATTGCCTTTTCACTCTGCAGCTCACTTTTCCCCCCTCAACGCTTTTATATTGGGGCAATTCACTTGCCAAGAGGCAAGAGAAGTTCTTGGGGTGGGGGGGCGGGGAGCCTTTCTCAGTATCTTTCATTCAACAATATTCAAAGTGAAATTCATTCACATGTGTGTTTCAGTAAATCTAAGGCTTATGATACAGCATCCTTATGCTTGACCCACCTCGTCTGCATAAAGCAATGTCTAGATTCTGAAATGCCGGCTCAGTGTTACTGCTGTGAAAGGATACACATACTTTGCAAATTAAAAACACATTAGAAATTAAAAAGCAATGTGACACAATGTCAACAATATGTGTAGCTCATAAAAGAAAGCTCACCATTCATTCATCAGACAACCTCCAACTTGGGTTAAAGAGACTATTAACAAGAGGATTCTGGGAAAGACTACAGCTCTCTTTTTTAACAAAGAAAAGGTCATATTAACATCTCCCAGCAACAAACTAATGATATGGATGCTGTAGATGCAGGGGACTCTGCTTGATACCATCTAGGTTGGGGGGGTTGGGGGGGTGGGGGGGGTGGGCGGGTTGCTTTTCATTTTTAAAAGCATCTTATTTAAAATCTTCATGCAAAAAACAAAATCTTCATGCAGCAAAAGGCAAATTTAAACTCTAACATTTAAATTTAATTTTAAATTTACTCTAACATTTAGATAAATACAATGAAGGGAAATTTTGGAACAGAAAAACAAAAACTGACTTAGAGAGCAATTAAGAACACTGTGATCAATGTCAATTATGAAGATTAACAGCCCCTTTTTATAATAGATATCAAGCAACACAGAACTCTGCTGCAGCTAAATGCATTATCACTTTCAAGCAGGGTAAATGATACAAATACCTTTGTTAAATCTAAAATAAAGAGCCAAATGCTCGAGAAAAGTCTGTCAGCCTTATTTCTAAGAAGAAATGTCAGCACTTACAAATTTTTTTTTTTTTAATTGCACAAAAAACTTTTAAGTTACACGTCTTTTTCTTTGGAGAAACTAATAACTCATCCCTATTTTACTAGAAAACATAAATTTTAAAAGATATTTTATTTTATCTCTTTCATGTAGAATATTTGTGGGGCAAAAGAAAACTTTTTAACTTGATAAATCAACATATCTTTTTCTTTAACAATATCTTATGTCTCCCTTATTTCCTCAAACACTTCAGAGTATCTGTACAAACACCACAAATATTTCACAATGTCAGAATTTTCTGATCCTTATTTTAATACTGGAAAAACATATGTATATAAAATAATTAAATGAATGCATACAATTAGGTAGATCAATGGGAAAAAGATTAAGTAATTATAGACTGTTTATCAATATGAAAGGACTTGCTCTAATATGGACTTGATCTTTAACTAGACAGCTTTGTTTAACACACACTGACCCTAAGTTGTCCCCCTAGAACTCCTGATCCAAAAAGCCACCTCATTCAACACTCTCAAATTTTGGCATTAATATCAAGAGAGAGACGTGACCTTGAAATGACAGTTCCATGGCAGAAAGAAAAAAAAGAAGACCCAATTAAAAGACCTACTTTAAGACACAATAGGATCAATACTGCACACGAGAAAAGTACACCCCTGTGGAAAGTTCTTATTGCCTGACTGATCCAAAACAAAACAAAACAAAACTTTTCCTTTTTTCAGGGCCTCTTCCAAATCACAGTCAGTGCCAGAAATCCACACAGGAAAAAAATCCATCAAAATGAAACCCTAAAAGGGTTTACCCTTCACCATCCCATTTGCACTTCAAAACCCTGTAAGGCCTTCAGTTAAACCCCAGGGCTGAACCATTTCAATAATAAGAGAGGTGGCCAGCAGTGATTTATCTCCCATTTGGCCTCTGGACAGAGCTGTAATGTCTAGGAAGCTTCCCTTCCCTGACTCGAACCCTCCCCCCTAAGTCTCAACCTTCATTTGTGCAGCTTTGGATATTCAGTACCTTGTAAACAACTCATATGCCCTTTCCAATCAGATGGCAAGAACAGTTTGTAACTCAGGGTTTTCTTGGCAATGCTTTCACAAAACGGAATGCTGTTGTGATAATCAGAGCATTGAAAATACCAGGTTAAATTTCAGGTTCTCTTTGCTGTAATAAGTTGAAAAAGAAAGAAACTTCAACTTAAGCCTTTTTCTTCTCACACATGTTGATTGTTGTCAGAACTTCTTAAACTTTTCCCAATTTATACCCCAATATCCATTACATCTTGGGCTACATCAGCCAACTTCCTGTAGTGATGTTCACGTAAATTTAAATCCTTGCATTGTAAAATGTCTTAGCAAATCCAAAAATGTGGAGATTTCATAGGTCACAGACTCCTGGGTCAGAAAGACCTTAAGAACAGATAGCAGACCACTATGACTCAATTGATTTATTCTACACTTGTTATCAAATTTGTACTATAACTGACATCACACACACAAAATTTTCCTCTAGTAAAATAAATACCAAACAATGTCAACAGTTATTTAAGTTGAAATAAACGTACCAGAAGTTATCATATGGGAAACAGTGAAGCTACTCCTTAAACGTGGAGAACACTTTGTTACTGGGCATGAATTTCCTATTTCAAAATTATGTTCATATGCTTGCTAATATACAGAGAAGATGAAAAATATATACACTCTTTTCCCTACCTATTCATTGCTTTCTATTTTCATTTCAGTGACAGGGTTTTGTTCTTTTAATTGATTCTGATAAATTCCATCTGAATGCCACATTCACAACTTGCCCTAAATGATTCCACTATAGTAATTCTGATTTTATAAGATGAAAACTTTCAAGTTATTCACTAACTTCATAAATTTAGAGACTCTATAGGCAAATATAAATGTATTTCATTTAAACCTAGTATCAGTTAAGAGAAGTTTAAAAGAATAAAATTTATATGGCCCTGATAGTTAAAAATACAAGAAATACAAATTTTTGTTAATTCAAAGAAAAGTTATTCACACTTTTGGAGTTATTTATCAATAAAAATATCTAACTATCCTTATACCACATTAGCAAATAGTTCTCATTTTCAGAGCTCCAAATACCACAAATTGTAAAAGCAAAAAATAAACCAACTCTTACAGCAAATGACTTTATTGCATGCTACCAGGTCAATGAATCTCAGATTTGTGAATGAGATAACATAAAAATTCAAACTGCATATATAAATCAAGAACAGATAACTGAAAAAAACAAAGGGACATGACTTTTTAATATCACTGAAACAAACTTTGTCACTAATAACAAATACTCAGAAAAATAAATTTCTTAACCTACCACACAACATTAAAAAAAAAAAGCTGTCCTCAGAGAGTCAGCAAGAGTAATTGATCCACCACAGAGGAAATATTCAATCTTCATTAAATATTTATTCAGTGCAATAGGTTGTTAGGTCTATTTAGACCTCAAAGAAGAAATAGTTCCTGTCTGGTAGGAATCAGGTCTTGGGAGAATTGAATGGAGATGAACTGAAGTTCCTCAAGTCAAGACACTGTATTTCAAAACAATGATGCTAAAAATTGGAGGTGTGCTATGAAATGATTGCTGCTACTTTGAAATCTGATACAAAGAAACTGACAGTTCAGGGAGTAGTAATTTTAACAAGCTATGACCGGAGAAGTAAGCAACTTGATTTCCTAGTAACGCCGGACAATACAATTTGTATGTTCAAGATCTGGGGTTCCCAACCTTTTCGCCACAGCCAAGTCGCCAGTCTTTTCTGGGTCTCTTTCCTTATCCATAAAACGAGAGGTAAAAGTAACACATTTCCAGACTGAAGACACTATGGTTACAATGGGGGAAGGGAAAAGATCCCATTCACAACTGGAACAACATGAAGAACGCACAGGACTCATCTTAATGACAAATCTGTGATAACATCATTTTTTCAATTGCCAAAGGTGAGTTGGATGATATAAGTGAAAATTTACACGCAGACAAATATGCTGCGTTTCTTACAGAGAAGTCTAATTGTAAAAATACTTTTTTCTCAAACAAAGTAATAACACAATTCCAGTCAAAAGAACAGTAAAATTTGGGGGGAACATAGTGAAAAAATTCATAAATTCATAAGGAAGATTATCAGAGAAAAGATAGGGAAAACATCTTTTTGAAATATGTTACAAGGGGAGGTGAGTCAAAATAAATGTTAAATTATAGTATGAAAAAAGAGCTTTTTGTTCATTGTCACTAAATCCAGCGAACGTTTTTTTTGGTTCTTGTCTAACATGTCCTCTGAGCACATTTCTTGAAATTTCCTTTCCGTCTGCTGGGTTTCATCTCACACCCCTCTGGTTTTCCTCCTTCCCTATTCTTCTCCTTAGTTGCCTTTGCACTCCCGTAACACTCCGCCCAGCGATGAAATGTGGTGGTTCTGCAGGATCTAGTATGCGGGAGCCATCCTCCAGTAGGTTCCCGCCTCCTGTGTCATCCACTCCCACATCGAATCAGGGCTGACTTACATGACCAGTACAATATGGAACAAGTGACAATGTGTGATTTCCAAGGTCATAAAAGATATTGTAGTTTCTTACACGTAAAACAGAAAACTAATAAGAATCTACTGTATAGCACAGGGAATTCTATTCTATACTCTGTAATGCCTTATATGGGAAAAGAATACTAAAAAAAAGAGTGGATATACATAGATGCATAACTGATTCACTTCACTGTACCCCTGAAACTAATACAATATAGTAAATCAATTATACGCCAATAAAAATTTAAAAAAAAAACAACTGGGAAATACTCCAAATCAAGTAACCATTTGAATTCTGGAATTGTTGAGTCCCTCTACCATGTTTCACGTCGAGTTTACAAAAAAAAAAAAAAATTGTAGTTTCTTTCCTGACCTCTTGGATCACTTGCTCTAAGAGAGGGCAACCACTGTGTTATACAGACACCCAAGCCGTCTGTAGAGAGGCCCTCATGGGTAGGAGCTGAGGCT